TAGTCGGACGAAGGTAAGTACAGCTTCCCCTCTCCTCTAGTGTTGAGTCTTCTCATATTCTCATAGCCACCATGTCTAACCTTACATTAATGCCATATTTGGTCTTTCCTGCAATGTGGAGTAATGTACCCATAATACTATCACATACATTTTTCTCAACGTGCATCAAATCAATAAAATGCCTTACATCTAACTTCCTCCAAGAAGGCAGTTCAAAGAAAATTCACTTCTTCTTCCACCTACCTATCCTAACATGCTTCACAAAAGGTTTCCCAAACTCAATATCCAAATCCTTAACTTTTTCAAATAGCTCATCACCAGATAATATTAGAGATGCCACCTTTTCTTCTAGTTTCCCATTGAAAGATTTTCTTAATCTTCGATAATAATGCCATTTGGGTAACCATCTGTGATGTCTTAAATAGTCATTCTTCATACCATGTTCCAACCTCACGGAATGTGTGCTATCTTCGCAAATAGGGCACCCAAGTTTTCCTTTAACACTATACCCTGACAAATTACCATAGGTTGAGAAGTCATTAATTGTACCAAACAATAAGGCTCTTAAATTAAAACTTTCTTCCTATACCCATCATACACCTCAACACCAGTCTCCCCTAATATCTTCAAATCTTCAACTAGAGGAGCCAAATACATGTCTATATCATTTCCACGTTATTTCGGCCTTGAAATTAGCAAGCTCAACATCAAATACTTGCGCCTCATGCATAACCATAGAGCTAGGTTATAATTTATCAAAATTACTAGTCATGTGCTGTGGATACTACTCTGAAGCCCAAATGGATTTATTCTATCAGTAGATAACCCAAGCCGTAGGTTCCTATTGTCTTTTGCAAAGTTAGGATACTCACTATCAATCTTTTTCCACTATGGAGAGTCAGTAGGATGCTTTAGCATTGTATCTTTAATCCTCCCATCCTCATGCCAAGTCAAATTTCTCAATTCCACTTCACTTCCATATAATCGTCTAAATCTTGGTGCTATAGGAAAGGACCATAACACCTTCTTTGAACTCTTTCCATTCTCCTTATAACATGATGTTGAACATTAGGGCACTTAAATAATGACTCATGTTCTTTCCTGAATAAAATGCAATCGTTCGGGCAAGCGTGTATCTTCTCATAGCTCAAGCCAACAGATTTCAATATCTTCTTGCATTATATAACCGCCTTGGAAGTTTGTTGTCTTTCGGTAGCATTTCATCATGCAAATATGAAAGTAAGTTTGTGAAACTCATATCACTCCACCCACCTTCTGCTTTCAATTGGTATAATTTTAACACCGCAGTCAACTTTGACACGTGTTCCCTAGCACTAGTTTAAAATACGGTCCTCATATCACTTCTCAACCTTTCAAGCATTAAGAACAATCATTGAGTTTCACTTTAACCATATTGGTCATCTCTTCAGCACGATCTACCTCACCTACACTTGTGTCAAAGTCATTTGACACATAGCTATGACTTGTTTGGTCATGTCCCTTACCTATCTATGCTTATACCAACACTTATAATTTTGATCGATTCCATTAACCACTAAATGGTCTTCTAATTCCTGTGTAGTGACCCGCCTCATAAGTCCACATCTTAGACAAGGGCACATAAGGCTCTTACTATCTCCCTCATGCTCAATACCAACTTTAATAAAGTGGCTCACCCCCTCCATATATTCCTCGATCGTTGATCCGTAGACATCTATTTTTATCCATAATCTCAAATCTATAAAAAATTGTTAAAGGACATATGATGAGTGGCTCAATCATCGTAAGTGCAAGATAATAAATTAATTACTAAACTCATCAATGCATTATTCATAAACTACTTGATTAAAAATAGTAGGGATTCCTAATAAAAAATTCCTACTATTAAAAATAAATTTAAGTATATCTTGACTTACAGTTCTTTTAGTTGTTTGATAAGCCTCAATTTTTATTTTAGAGTACTAACTAGTTGTTAGTACTCTTAAAAGAAAATTCGGCATTATAACGGTTTAAATTGAAACTTTCTAGGCACTAAGCCCTCTCTTCATACTTAAACTCATCACTATATAATCTAATTTTAACCCCATTCAATCATAAATAACAACAACAACTCAAACCCCTCTCTTCAACGAGTCAAAGATTAATGTAAATGATACTATATAAATAAAAGAATATTAAGATGAATAGCTTGAGAAGAGTAAAATGGGAAAACCAAGCCCATGGGTTAAAAGTGTATGTCTAAAGGCCATATTTTTTTTTTGTTTAGGAGTGCTAACTAGTTGTTAGTACTCTTAAACAAAATTCGGCAGCGTAACGACTTACTTAAAATTAGGACTTTCTCGGGTACTTAACCCTCTCTTCATATTCTACACTTTTTAGTTACATCTGACAATTGTTTTTGGTGATATGCAATTTTTTCTATTACAAAGTTCTTTGATTTGATACAAAAATTTGAATGCACTTCCTAGAATTCAATCATTAAAGCCCACAAGCTTTATTTTTTTAATTTAAAATCAACATCAAGCTCACAAAAAGTCATAGAAGCAAATTCAAGATAAAGCTCATGAAATATAATCCATAAATTCAACCAAAGCAAAGCTTAAAGTACCTATAAAGCTTAAAGCTGAGTAGGACATGGAAGTAAGGATTAAAGCTTGAAAGGCAACCATAAGCAAGAATTAAAGCTGCCCACAAGAAAAATTAAAAAGAAAAAACAATGAACACTAAATGCAGTTGCAGCATGAACATGAGGGAGGAAGGGAGAAGATGAAATGCATAGGCACAAGCACAATTCTGAGTTTCAAGCTCTGCGATTCTGGGTTTAATCTAAAGCCTAGTTCAAGCAGAATTGTTTGACCAACTAACTCGATTTAATCTGAGCTTAACGTTGAAAATTTTCTCCTTTCAAACATTTTATTGAACACCTTATGTGCACCAACGTTCAATCTATAAATCTAATCCCTTTTCTCCCTAAATATCATACTAATAAATTTAGAAGTGAGTAGAAAAGAGACAAAATGCCCAGTTAATTTGAGCATAGACAAACACACAGAGCACACCCAAGAAGTTGAAGGAGCTTACAATGAATTGAAGCCAAGAAGTTGTTGTTACAGACGAACACAAAGTTTTAGAACTCATAGCCTAAACAAAGGTGAACTCGAAGGATTAGTGGGTTTTGGTTATGGGTTTCTGATGAAAATGATGATAAGGTTTGGGTTTTTGAGAGTAATGATGAATGCAACCGATTCTAGTTTTGCTGAGAATGAAAATGATTGAAGAATAGAAGCAGAGTATCAGTATCAGTTATGATATAGTGTTGCTTATATAGGACGAAAAACCGTCCTCTATAGCTCCACTTACAGGATCATTAAATGTGACAACCGTCTTCTATTTTAAAAAAATTTTTGAAAATCATAATAAAATACAGGACAGTTAAGCTTGGAACGGTCCTTTATAATTAGAGGATTAGAGGATGGTTCTTTGTACAACTGTCCTATATGGTTTTTAAAATTTAAAAAAAAATGTGCCTAATAGTCTGCCTGCTGGCTATGGGACGGTTTTCTATAAAACCGTCCTATATGAGGCATCTTGTATACGTGGTTTTGGATAGTGCTTGTGAGCTTGGTTGTGTGCTAGGGTTTGGGTATTAGAAGAGTTGAGATCAAAAGATTGAAGCTTTGAAAGAAATTGAAGCTCATTTTCTTTAGTTTTTTTTATTCCACTTCCCTTTATTCTCTTATAATTTGATATGGGTCTAAATATTTATATTTGTGATTTGTGGATAATTATGAGCAGCTAAATACCTTGTTCTAGGAATTATTTGGAACTCTTGTATGAATTAACACCAATTTTCTCCTCTTTTTAATGATTAATGATATATAATTGTTTGTTTTACTCTTTTTTTAATGCTTCTAAGTGTTTGGAAATCATTTAGTTGATTTGTTCACTTAAGTGATGCTTGAGAGGGCTAGCTTGAATATAGATAGAAATATACTTGCTAATATTTGCTAACTTTGCATAGCCACATTAAGGTAGAGCTTAAAATTAGGCTTTACTAATTGCAATAAGATATTGAACAATTAACTAAACTAGATACTTATTCATGACCAAAGAACTTGTTCAAATGTTTTTAGAATCCTAAGTTAGCGCTTGCTATGAGAGGAGGTAATTTTAGTATTATGAAATATAAGAAAATAAATAATGTTAGGTCTTAATTTGTACGGTTGAAATCTAAGAATAATTGTGTTTCTTTATTTTCTAGTTTTAATGTAATTTTCAAAGTCAATCTTGTTCAACTAATTGTATTTCACTCAACTTAATTAAATTTGTAAAGTCTTTTATTTGATCATAATTTTAATGCAAATCTTCATGAGGATAATACTCTATTCACTCTATAGTATTTGTTATGGCCTGTGCAAATAATAATTATGTATGAAATTTAAAAAAATTAGACTAAAATATTCATGTAATTAATTTTTAGCATATGAAGGAATCAAGTTTGTTTCGTGAAAATATACTCTGATTTTATGATGGACAGTTTGAGAACAAAAAATATAATAAACGCTTCGTGATTTTGTGGTTTTGGTTACATAAAAACAATGACGCATATGAGTGTATCTCCTATAATAAAAAAGGGTGAGAGTACTTATTAGCATTTTTTACCATCATTAATAAATGGGAACACTTTTAAAGAGGAACAGAGTTTTCCCATGCAACTTGAGTTAGTCTAACTCAATAGATAATTAATGATATTCTTAGAAAAATAATATGCATTTGTAACAAATTTATTACCATTAACCTCTTTTAACATATTGATCTTAATCTAAATAATTTGATTATTCATCTCTTAAAAAAAGAAAAAAAAGACCGGAGGGGAAGTATCTATACGATAAATCACGTGAACCATATTAACATTAGCTCGTGACAACATCTTTTAGATATAATTAACCACTATGAAGTCAACTTATTATACAATATTGTAATAACTTCCACGTATTCTCATGTATAAAGTAGCTAGCTTTAAGTTCATCGTACAATGAACTAACTTAATCAAAATTCACCACAGAACGGTAAGTCTGACCCGGACTCCACCCGGCTGGGATCACATTGCTTGCTTCAACAGTGTTCTGAGACTCCGGCGACTCCGGAGAAGTTAGGCGGACAGAGAATGGTGCCTGAAGAGGTGAGCCAGAGTCAAGCTTCCAAATTGCACCCCAGGATTGTTGCATGGGACGCCATGATGCTGAGCTCTGAGCATCCTTGATCTCAACATTGGCAAGTCCATTACCATTCTCATATTCTATCACAACAGCAAAATAATATGGGTTCGATCCTGAGTCCACTTTGAAAGCTATGGATGTCCCCGGGAAGTTACACCTTACACTGCAAATAATGCCAAAGTCTGAATAAAATTAAAAAATAATAATAATTTATGTTGAAAAGACCGTCAAATATAATGGCTACAAAAGAAAGTAAAGATTGTTTATTAAAAAGTTGAAGTAAATGGATATACAGCACGTCAACACTAGTAGTACTCCTTTTTTTTTTTAATTGTAGATGATTTATAAAATGGACAAAATCAAATAAATATACATCCCAAAAATGAAGTAGATGAAAAAACCTTAAATTAGTATTGTATAAAAAATGATCAAATCAAGTTTAATTAATTTCCTCTCTAAAATATGGAGATTATTTTGGCGAAAATTATATCGTTGATTTTAAATCATGAATCAGTTTTGATGAAGTCAAAATTACTGATACTTCTGTAACAAAATATAATTAGTAATCAGTAATATTTAAATCTGGAACCACCGTTCACTACTACATATTTCTAAAAGGAATAATATTTTATCTATCTATGTCACACATAAAAAGGTAGAATTCTACAATCTGTCACGCGTGCAACAGTAATACATTCACGTGTCTATCTCCCGAAGGATAACAATAGTGGAATCAATTATTAAGACTGAAGAAATTTTGTTGATTGTATCTAGAAACTACAATTATTTAATAATTAATAGACATATGATTAGGATACATGGCTCTCACTACAATAAATGTGTACATACATTGATGAATTAATATAATTGATTCAATATTTTTGTTTCGATTAAAACTTATTACCTTCTATATTGAATGTCCAACTTGCCAGCATTGCGTAGCTGATCAGCTTGACCAGAAACAGCCATGGCACTAAAAGCAGTACCACTCAAGTCAAAGTGAAATCTCTCAGATGAACCACACCCTGGACACTCATCAGTGATCACAACGGTCACTGGATTACCTGAACAAGCCGGATTCGATGAGCACTTCACCTAAAAATGGGACCAAAATAATGAGATTAATTAATTAATTCATAATTTCCTGTGCACGAAGCTATAAAATGATAATGAATTAAGATTTTGTACGTACCTCATAGCAAGCTCCACAGCCTTTGCCTGACTTATATAGGTGAGCCTCCAGCTGATATCATCGAATAAAATGGAGCTTGCCCTACAGCACCACCATAGCCACAAGCACCGCCTGTATAAATAACTTGGATTATAACTTTAATATTTTGATTAATTAATAAATAATATAATGCTCCTTTTGTGCCTGAGAGTGGTGTATTTATATTTATTTTACCTTCACTTCCGTCGCCGTTGGGGCCTCCGTACCATGTAGCATCTGCCGGAGACCAATCAGAATCAAAAGTGTATGATGATGAATTAAGAAATTTTTTAGGGTTGGAGCAAGAGGACGAGCTCACTATGAGAAAGAATAACAAGAAAGGGACGAGAGGATTGAAGAAATGAGAGAGTGGAACAAGGTGAGGAGTGGAAAGAGCCATATAATTAGCGTGATGATGATATTATTAAAAGGACCGATGAGAGATTTGCGTGGATTTTTGTTGTATTGCTGATGATGATATTGGTTTGAGAGCCTCTGTGGCATTTATAGAGAATTTGATGAACCCAGGATTTAGAGGAACGAGACAAATTTGAGATGCGAACAATTCATTGACGTATTTTTTTATTTGATTCTGATTGGCATGTACATGGTGTATTTATTATCCCAAAATACATGATCATTAACAATTTAAGGATGATCATGCATGCATGTACATGAAAAATAATATAGTCAAATTTTGTTATTCGGTCATGCTTTAATTAATTAATTCACTAGAATTCATTTCGAAATTAATAAAACTTAATATAAACTATGATATTCGTCCGTAATTGCTACTATCTCGCTTCCATCAGATCCACTAATTAATTTTAAAAGTTGACTTCGTCTCGATTTAATTTATTCATCTTATAGGCCAGTGATATATTTTTTAATCAAATGTGAGGTGAAGTGACATGTGGTGTTAAGAATCTTAACATAATCTATTTCGGGATGAAATACAATTTAAAAGTTCCCAATCAAGAAGTCGCAAATAGGTAAGAATAATTTCTTCTTTTTAAGCACATCATCGCATTAGTGATTTGATTTTGAATTTCTTACGAATTGAACTATATTAGTTCCTAAACTTTAGACCTATCATAATTTGGAGTTAAATGAAAATTATTTAAACGAAGAATATAAAACTTAGGCTAAAATATACATTTAGCCCTTCAACTTTATGCAACATTTAATTTTAGTCCATTAACTTCGTAATCTATCTTTTTAATCCTTTAACCTTAATTTTATTAGTTTTATCATAAAAAAATAATCAATTGAAACAAATAATGTTATGGTTAAAGGACTAAAAAGATATTTTACAAAAGTAAAGGATTAAATTAAAACTTATATACAATTAGAGGATTAAAAGTATACTATAGTCTAAAACTTATAAGCAAACAATATCTTGATATATGTGAAAATTTAAGTTTCCTCTACTTCATGTTAATGGTTCATTCCTTTTATTTCTTTGAATCAAGGATTAATACGTCAAGACCTTTGACACATCAATTCGAAATACTCCACTCTGTAAAAAGTTATTCTTACTTTCAAATAATTTTGGAAAGTTATGTTGTGTGCAATTCGAAATATTCCCAGCTAAACTTGCAGTTTGCGAAGTTAATGTCGGAAATCTTGGATGATGATGAGTTCTTATACTTATTACGTAAATACTATAATCCGGTACGTGATGCATAGTGCATTAAACTTTAAAGATTCTTTAATATAGGTTGATGACTCAAATTAATTAAAATCAACTACTCTCTTATATGTAATTATTAATTTCTACATATATATAGTAAAAGGTTCATGAAATCTTGAAAGATCTATGACCGTTTGAATATGAAATCTTAAATTCCAATCAATGTGAACACAAAATGTCTTTAGGATAGAGTTTGACAATGCTTGAATTTGATTTAATCAGGTAGTTTTATTGGCAAGAAAAAGGTCCATATGGTCCATGATTCACGCATCTTGGTGACATTCCTCATTAATTTTTCTTAATTGCTTTGCTTTAAAATTAATTTCATAAAACGTTTTAATCGGACATTTATTTATTTTGGTTATAAATGCCTAGTGTCACACCCCTTGCACTCCTTGTAGAAGCATTTTTTTTGTCCTTAAAATAAGGCACACTATAGGAGTGTTAATTATATTTTTTTTAATATTATTCTTATTTAAACTTATTAACTATGAGAGAGAATGTAATGCAAAATTAATTTTTTTATTTAAATAGGGATACAATTAAAAATTAATTTTATTTTTAGACAAAATTAATGAAAATTAATTACTTCTCATCGGTGAAGTAACTAGAAATATCTTATAATAGAGATTGGGGGAGTATATATACTACTCCCTCCATTTAAAAATATAAGGCATTTTTAACTAAATATTACCCTTCAATAAAGTAGTTACCTATTTTTAAACTAATACTATCTTTTTATATTTATATCTATTAAACACCCTACCAATAAATATAAAGTCATTTATCAATAGCGGTATTTTTTTAAAAAAGTAACGATTATACCTTAAAAGACTAAAAATACCTTATATTTTTTAACATTTAACTTTTCAAAAAAAATTTTACATTTTTTAACAGATGGAGTATAAAGTAAACCTTCAAATATAGTCAAAGGAAATTAGCCCTTTCCAATCTCCAGCGCCCGAAAAATATTGAAGTAGCCCTCGAACAAATTTTTTCATCTGACCAACAAACCTAGTATAATTGTGATTTTTTATATCATATATGAATTTAATTTGGACTATTATATTAAATCCTTCGCAGGACTTTAATTTGTTGGTTTCATAATGTAGTATTGAAAAATAATTTGATAATAAATTTTAACTAGTGGTCAACATTAATTCTTTTGGTTCTATGAATGCTAAGATTGACTCGAACACAATTTGTTTTTCTTTTTTTTTTTACGCTCATGCTTTTTACATAATTTTCATCTAGAACTTACACACACACAGACACATACCAATGGCTTTCTAAAGCCACATAGTACCTCCCTAATCCATATATTTTGTGCTATGTTCTCATCTATTGTGTATAAACGTATGCCTTTATATTTTTGCACTTAAGGATAGAAAATAATTTAAAAGTAATATTTTAATTAAAAAAGTTGATTATTAAAATAATATCACTCAATTATCAACATATTTATTTTGCAATAAAGAACTTTAATTTAATTTCTTTTCAACAAATTTGTTCTTATTTATCACCCACACAATCTTAAATTTATTTTCAAAATTAAATGTTGTTACTTATATATTTCAACTCCATAAATACTACTACTATGTTACTTTTGTTTTAGAATTATTTATAAATAATTTTTAAATTATTTAAAATTAAAAGAGGAATAATGTGGTGCGCTAATAAAATCTTGGAAAAATGCATATTTAAAATTTGAGTAAATTGATAAGTGATATATACAAGTCTATTTTCATAAATAGGAATCTAATTATCTTTGGGAAAATAACAGAAAAATCTATTTAAATATATAAATGATAGATTAATCTCATGAAATGGTATAATTTCTATGGAGTCTCAAGGGATGTTTACATCATTAAAAAATTATAAGAAACAACACTTTTGCCCTTTATTCATATTAAACAATTCGTAACTTTTCATTTACAACTTTTATCATATATTAATAAATTTTATTTTTAAATTCACAACAATTTATAGCTATTGACAAGTCTTGATCTGAAGATCTTGATATGCATTAGGTGTTGAAAATTCGTAACTTTTCATTCACAACTTTTGTTCTTATATTAGCAACTTTTATTTTTAAATTCAATAGTCATTCATAACTTCACATCTGCAGGTCTTAATATACATCAGATGTTAAAAATTTATAATTTTTTTATTAAATTTTGTTTCTATATTAATATATTTTTATTTCTAAATTTACAATAATAATTTAATAGTTATTCACAACTCCACATATATAAGTCCTAATATGTATCAAGTGTTAAAAATTTATAACTTTTCATTGACAACTTTATTCTTATTTTAACAACTTTTGTTTCTAAATTCGCAATAATTCAATAATCATTCACCACTTTAGAGATTTTTATTTATTTGAGGGCAATTTGATCATTTCTTTTAATTCCCTAATGACAAAAAAAAACCCATGGGATTCCAGGGAAATTATGGCATTTCATGGGACCAATCTATCATTTACATAATTAAATGGATTTTTCTGTCATTTTCCCATTATCTTTTATATTTTGATAACATATATATATTATATATATATATATTATTGAGAGATCTATAATTAATTAAGTCACTTTTGTTGCCATGGTCAAGTGAAGTGATCACCCTGATAAGAGTGGAGAGAGGAGACCATTTTTTCTTATAAATTTCGATTGGTTTTCAATATAATAATATGTTAAACTAAATAGAAATATCGAAAATTTCGACCCCAATAAGTCAACCCAAAGGGTGGCGTGGGAAGCACATTCCAATTCCAATTCCAATTAGCAAGTCTTAGATAGTCAACCTGAATCGCCGGCCAGGGACGACGTCATAATTGTCGCCTAAGGAACAGAAAACTCAGGCCCGTAGTTTTAGCTTTCAGGAGTTCGTTAATGAAGCCGTTAATAATGGTGGTCATAAGCCGTTGAAACAGTGACTTAATTTCTTCCCTCCCATTTTGGGGTCCACATTTATATTTATTCCTGTCTCTATTGCATTTATTGCACGATTCATTTGCGGTACTGTCAATTGTTATTGTAACACTAAGCCAAATTGTTTGGTAAATCCTCAACAGTTTTGGAACATAAGAATGAAAGAATTCAAACAGGGTGGTAGCACCTATTGTGATGCTATTGTCTTCGTCAATTTTGAGTTCATGGGAAACCTCATTCAGAAACGGTCTACTTACATTGAGCCAAATTATTTCAGTCTACTTTGTTTTCATAGGGTGCTAATTTGGATCAAAGAAGCATCTTCAAATGAAACCTCCATTCAATGTGGTCTTACTTTTCCTGGCTATCGAAGGAAATTATTTCACGGCCTTCTTATAAAGCATTACTCACTATTAAAAAAAAAATTTAGCGGTGACTTTTATCCTCTAAAGAGTTGACTCTAAAAGTCTAGTCACTAAAGTTTTTGTGATGACAAACATAGTCGTCACCAAAAGTATACTTTTTCATTGTCAAAGATAAACTTTTAATGTCAAAAGACTTTTGTCACTGCTAAAGATATACTTTTGATAGTGACTATGTTTGTGGCACCAAAAACTATCAGCAACCAAATTTTTAATGGTGATCCTTTAATAGCGAAAAGTTGCCACAAAACCTTTAGCGGCAACTTTTGTCCATTAAAAAAAAAAAAGAGCCATATCCCATGCCATGTTAGTGCCTCTTTATTTCATGTCAACTGACACTTTGTGCCAC